GCTCCCAAAGCCACTGGCTTCATAGATCTGTAAAATGAGGTTCTGAGGAGTGAAGGGAGCCCCAAGTCACAGTTAGCAACCGATAGATAGGGTCTCAACCTAACTGACGATGCTCCCCGACTGTTTTCACCAAGTCCTATCTTCTCCGTCCTTAGCAGGAAGAGAAAAAGAAACACAAATTGCAGTTTGTGGTGTGAGCACAAACTTAAATCACTTAAATCACTCAGCGAAACAATCTTGATAAAAGTGTCATTTCCGATCGGTTTTAAAAAAAATAAAAGGCTTCTAATCACAGTGTTGGTAGGTAGCCATATCTCAAAACAGATTCCAAGTGAGCCAGGTGTGGTGACACACATGTGTAACCCCAGCACTACGGCAGCAGGAGCGTGGAGATCAAACTCCAGACCAGCCTTAATAGGTATGAGAAGAAAACAAAAGTACAGGGGATAAAAGATTTATATATGAAAGATGAGACCTGAAAAGTGCAGGAAAAACTAAACATGAGTTAATTCTTCGTATAACTATCATCTTAAAGCAGAAGTACACGTCAGTGTTAGGTATGTATAATATATGCACATATTACAGCCTAGAGACGTGTACTGGGATTATTGCTGAAGTGTAATAACAAGATGTCCTGGTCCTCTGAGGATCCACATCCCAGTGTTTTCTTACTTCACACAGAGACCCAAGTAAATTCACAATAGAACTATGGTACCAAGATCTAGTGTTCTTCAGAAGACACCATCCTCGCCAGGTGCTGAAGTCCTTCAACACATCCGTGGTCCCCCGAGACAACCCTAAGGTCCATGAATTCGGCTGACAGCTCATCACCAGCCCTCATCTCCTGAGCACCTTGAAAGGGCTTGGCCACCTTTCCCGCCTGCCAACCCCCAGAGGCCAGCAGGTAGTTTGTGTTGGGACTTTAAAGAAATTGGAAGCCATGTACACCAAATTCGGTTTTGTGCTAACAGATGAGTGAAAACTCCACGTTACCCCCTCCTTCTTCCCCAGCACCTGACTGGGACGATTAGTCTGAAACTGACAGGAATTCATAGTTATCCCAAGAGTTTGTCTTAACATGCTAATAGGACCTGACACAGGGGTGGATATTTCCGAAGATCTCAGCTCTTCGTTCTCTTTCAAAAGCTCACTCTGGAGCCACCCTGGTAGCTGTATTATCCTAAGTAAGTCCTGCCAAGGCAAATAGGGCAGGGCTCCTGGAGGCCGAAAGCAACTGGTGGCTTACCGCTTCCATCAGGCCCTTCACCGTGGGTGACTTCAGCATCAGAGCATCAAACACGTCGTCATTTTCCTTCCTCACGTACAAAAGCACTGCAAGAGAAGGGGAAGGCCAGTGTGACCAGAGGCCAAGGGGACCACTCCTGTCACTTGAATGTCTCAAGATGACGTCACCTGCTCTGCCAACAGGCTAATGCCTGTGGAATGCAAACACTCTGCCACCTGTATCCTCATCTTGAGTTTCTCAAGGTGGGCACACGGTCCATCTCTCTATGACTACTCTTTCCTCTGACTTTTGTTTGCGTCTTCGCTCATTCAGTGAACACCACTGAAGGCTCCTGGGTGCCACAGGCTGTCCACACCAAGAGCTGGGGTTATATCGGAGAGCTAGTTAATACCATCCCCTGCCTTCGGGATGTTTGTGGTCCACTGGGAGAAGCACGCAGGCTCAGGACGAGCTAGACACCATTGTGAGAATCGTGACGGTACTTTCCGTCACAGCTCTTGCCGTGGTGAGGGTGAGGGAGAGTGCCGGGAAGTGGGGGCTCTAGGGTCCACGAGATCATGGGGGTACCTAGTCTAGGAAGGGATGTCACTGGGAGGATGAGAAGGATGGACGGACGACCTACAGATGCGCAGGCCTGGAAGGGCAACAGGGGACGGCCCGGGAGAGTCCAGGAAGAACTTAGGATGTGGAGAATCTCAGATCTGGTTGTACACCAGCTCAGGCCCTGCCACGGCCCCAACGGTGTAATCTCTCCACGCCTGGATTACCTGAACAGGACACTAGGATCCACCACATAAGGGTTGTGTGGGGTTCTGTGAAGTGAGGCCCATGTGGTACGCTTAGTCTAGGCCCCCACACAGACAGGGACCCAGTCTTCATCCTATAGAAGCTGCCAGGAAAGAGTTGTGGTTCTTGTCAGACTGGGCCACAGCTTCTCTATTACCCGTTTCTCTGTAAAACTTCTGCACTGAGAGAACACTGACGAAGATGGCAGGCACCACAGATCCTTAGCCACACAGATGTCCCTCAGAGAGGCTAGGAGGCATGCCTGCACAGACAGGGCCTCCTCACTGATGCTTCTCCTCATCACGGTGCCTTCCCAACTGTGCCCACTGCTCCGGCAGTCACGCTGCAAGGCAGCTCCCAGAAAAAGACAGGCCACCATCACTCAGGTGCAGCCCCGCAGCCCCAGAGGGCTGGCTATCCTTTCTGTTCTCCAGTGGCATAAATTCCCCCACAAGGGAAGAAAGGCGGCCAAAGCTGAAATCCCGCAACTGTTCACACGAAGGAAAACAGCCCGGGTCAAAACAAAACAAGGAAACCTGATGAACCTAGATCTCAACCACGGTCGAATATTCTCCTTGCTGCCATCACCACCTGCAGAACTGGAGAGTGAAATCCGACAAATCCCCCTCCTCTGCCCCAAACACTTCTGGAAGCTGCTGCCTATTTAAAGGCTACATGGACAGGAACCCTGCCCAACCCCCTGTTACGAGCATTCTGTGGCCAGTGAATGTTCAGTTAGACTATGATGTAGAGAGGAGAGGGAAAAGGGAGGAGAGCTCGGGGAAGAAGAA